AAAATAGTGCTTGCAGCATCTTGATCGCACCGCACTGCAGGCATAATGTGCCTTGCGATCCCGTGCGGGCGATCGCATTGCGGCAGGAGGTCGTGGCCACAGTGCCGTTCACCCCTCCAGCTCTGCAAAAAAGTGAGCCGCCGCAATGCGAGGCAGTGCGTTCTGGCCAGAATTGTACCGGAACGCACTGCATATGGTGTGAACTAACCCTTAAGCCATGTGACTAACTGTTACATTTTTTTAATATAAGTTCCCCTCTCCTGCTGTGCTGGCTTTGTGAATTGAGCCTATGGGCTGTCCTGTCATGTACAAGAATGTAGATGCTGTGCGCTATTTCGGCCTACAAAGTGTGTCCTGCATGTGTGTCGATCTAATTCCCCCGAACTGTACAAACCACAGTACCAAATCTTCAAACCGCAGTGCAGGGCTCCTCTTGCTCCGGCTAACCAGGACACACATACTCCGGAGACTCTGCAAAGTCTGTACTGAGCTGCTACAAACAGTCTCCAGAGGATACAAGATAGATAGAATCTACTTACTCTGCCTCCAGAGCCAGCCACTCTTCACTAAAGCCATCTTCGCCCGCGGGATCGACTGCAAAAAAGTGAGTCATTTAAAAGAGTATCTCCAGGTAGAAAGCAGTTATCTCTTCACGTGACTAGTTTGCCACCTGACCGAGAACATGTGTTTTGCCCATACAGGGTTCATTTTAAAGCCACTCTAGTGCTAAATAGAAAAGTTTAACACGAACCAGTCCTGTAAAATTGGGGTTAGCTGTGGCACCGCCCATGCTGGCAATATGTAATAGATCCAGTATACTCACCTCTCCGGCGTCTCGGACACGGAGGGTGACTCCACCCACAGTTCGCCGACTTAATGCCGCTCCGGCCCCCTCCTCGGCTTAAAGGAGAGCTATGAGGTCAGTGCTTTTCACTCACCTCATAGTTCTAGCCGACCTGTGACAATGAGATACATAGTTACATAGTATTTGAGGTTGAATAAAGACATTAGTCCATCAAGTCCAACCTATTAGGATCTCATTCTAGGAGTACCTGTACCCCTGTATATTACGGTCCCTTAAGAAATCACCCAAAAGTTTCTTGAACAATTCCACATTATTTGCTGAAATCACCGCCTGTGGCAGTGAGTTCCAGACCCTAACTGATCTAACTGTGAAGAACCCCCTTCGCCCCTTGTGCTGGAATTTTTTTTCCACCAATTTTAGGTGATGGCCTCTAGTTTTTGTAATGGAGTTAATTTTAAACAGTTTATCGCTAATGTTGCTACCACCATTGAAAATTTTGTACATGGAGATCATATGCCCCCTTAATCTCCTCACCTCCAATGTGAACATGTTTAAATTTAGTAGCTTCGTCTCGTAGCTCTGGTCCTCCATACCCCTAATTAGTTTGGTTGCCCTCCGCTGGACTTTTTCCAGCTCAAGGACATCTTTTCTTAGTACTGGTGACCAGAACTGGACCGCGTACTCCAGATGAGGCCGAACCAATGATCTGATTTGTGTCCTCCCGTTACCCTAAGGAGAACTATGGGGAAAAGCCTTAACCCCCATAGTTCTCCTTTAAGCCGCAAAGGTTCACTTTCAATGGACGAGGACGCCGGACAAGTTCTGAACAGCCCTGCTTTCCATCCTGGCTCTATAGACTCCACCATAAAGCCCCCAGTACTGCTGCCTACTCAAGACTGCTGGGACTCCTGGTGCACCGAGACTCAAGCTATTCACTGCTCCACAGCTTCCATACACCATCAGCTACAGTCTGGAGGATTTCCCGTGGCAGCCTGAGTACAACTAAACAGCAAGTATTAGGTGCCACAGCTGATGAAATGTACACAACCCAGAATGACTTTAAACTTGTGTTGTTAACCTGCATATTACAAGTTGCCTCTGCTGCTACATGCTTTTTAAAGCTATTTCCATAACCTTGTGATGTGAGGATAACATTACAACAGTTTTGATACATAACTGCCTTCAATCCTGTCATGTGAGCTTAACATTGGGATTATGTCAGCAGTGAGAGGCATACAGCGTGATTAAATTATGTTTTTTGTGATGTGATGCAAACATTACCATTGATACGACCTTAGTCATAGAGACTGTCATTATCTTGAAGTAAAAGTTCGGTTGAAGAGACTTCCGCAGCTCATCATTGATCATAAGAGGTATTACACAATATTGGCTCTTTTGCAAGGCTAGGTTTAGCAATGAACAGTTTTGTGACTGTCGAATAACAGGTCCCCCC